CCGGAGCACTTCACCACCCCCAATACATTGTTGCTAAAGCAAAGACAACTCAGGTAGCGTAACCACTACCTTTCGTGATTTGAGTGAGATTCGTTTTTCACAAGAATCCCTTACAAGATTCTATCACTCTTGTCCAAAATCTCTTCAATTGTGCAGTTGACAACAGGCCAGTTTCCTCTCTCTCTGAAGGGGGCAGTAGTTTCTGCACACAAAACCAACTCATCAATTTCTGGGATTGGATGGTATATGGTATATAATATGTATATATCAACAGCCTTCAAAAAGCAAAGGCAACCGTATTACCTTGGATGGTCGTTCCAATCGCTAAGCAGGTTGAATCATGTTAAACCCACTGGAAGTTGCAAAACGGCTGTGCAGCCCATGATCCAAATTGAACCAGCACTGACTTCTCAGTTTCCCTGTCAATTCAAGGTCAACCTTTTAACAGTTTTCTGCCTCTGGGATTTGAGTAGGGTGTCCCCAATCCCCCCAAAAGAAAGGGTCTTGCAGGAGGAGATCAACTTTTCTTCAGTATTGTACACAGCTGAATTCAACACCAGCTACACACTGACTCACTAACATGGAAGTGGCAAATGGATGAACATAGTCTTTGCGAAGACCACGTTCCTCTACGAACAGGTAGAGACAATATGTCCAGGGAGTTTACCCTGGACCCCCATGATTCGTCAGTCCGAGAAGACATGACTCACAGCATATCATCACCTGTCATCACCATGAACCAAACTTGAAGCCAAATCGACCTGGGATCTGGCATGACACGAGCTATACCCGGAGACCCCTCATTGGGGGGGGCCTATCGATACCTAGCTCGGCCTGGCACCGGCACCTCGCGGTTCGGGACGTGAGGCTCGGAGCCTCTTCTCCGGTCGCCCGCTCGGTTGATCCGGCCTGCAAGGCTTGGGCACCTCTTCCACCGGCGCTTCTGGTTCCGACACGCTCCTTAGGCTGCGAGGCGGGGGGATCGGGATCGTCCCCCGATCGCTCGGTGCTGTTTCGGCTCCGATACGAAGATCGACCTGTTGGTCGCTGGAGTTTCTCCTGCATGAGAAGGGACAATGAGTCGTACTTCCTTTGTGTTTGGGCTGGGTCAGGTGCCATTGTCCCATGGGTATACGATGATCATTGAGTATAAACTGTTGTTGATTCGGGGCCCCATGTTCCCAGCTACGAATGGTCCGGACCCGGGTGCCCAAACGCAAAAATGGATCCTCAACATCCTGGTTTGTAGTGGATGGCGTGCATTAATACCAAACAGGGAGTTTTCACTCCACGTAACCATATTATGCTGATTTCAGGGAATGTATTTGGGGTGGTTGAAACGGGGTTTCTCTGCAGGCATAGTCCATTCCCATGATGGTCTTCGTGCCGGTTTGGGTATGGCAGGGGTTTGGGGAGCGTCTCCGTGCCTTTAACAATCCATGAAATTAGTACCTGGACGTACCTGGACCCTCCAAAGTACTTCAGATAATGGGACATGACCCTGTAAAAACAGGTATAGATCTATATCCATGTTCTGAAGTACGAACTGAGACTCCAGGTATATTGGACGAATATGGACCTACCTGGTACCCAGACCTTCAAAGAGATGTCCCGTCTGGAGATCCACGTAGGTAGTGTAGGGTATTCCACGGTCAGACCCCTTTGAAGGTGTTGGTACATTTGACCCTTAAAGAACATATTAAAATCACATCAATGCAGGTGAACATGCCATCCATGCTTCGTCGTGTCAGGGTACCTGAACACAAAAAATACACATTGAAACACCATCCCTTAAACCCACAAGCCGTCCAGCGAATGCCGGAAAAAACAACAAAAACACTTAATTACACACACACACACATTGCATGACGAAACCATCTCTCCTCCCGAACCAAAAGGGGAGGGAAACAAAACTCCTGACCACTGACGCTCCAAGGCTCTCGATCTCCGGTGGAGCCTCGACATCACTTAACTCCTCGGGCGGCGTCGGCCGCGCCGCCGGCCGCGCCGCGCGGGACCACGTGAGGCGCCCGGGCGCCGGAGCCGGAGCACGGGGAGGACCCAGGTCCCAGTGCAAGCGACCAGGGAGCGCAGGACCTGCGGAGGTGCTCCGGTGCTGCGGTGAGACACAGGCGATTGGATGAAACGGAATCACGTATATAGCTTCGTACGGTGAGGTAAGGGAGACTGTTATATATGTAGGCGCCAGGAGGGTACGTACCTTGTGAGAAGGTATAAGGATGTGGGACTGGCACCACGGATTTCGGGTCGGACAGTTCCACATGCCAGCAGTTTGAAAGGGGTGCCTATTGGAGGAGAGGGATTCCCAATCTCCAGTTTGTATATAAACCACCCTTTTCCGTGGTGCTGGGAGTGGTCACTTGAGTCATGTTTGAGATGTCGAGAGCCTCTGTGACTGGTCGAAGGTGGCTATTTAGAAACAGGTGGCTCCTCTGGCCTTTCTCAGAGTTCGAGCACACGAGCACGCAGTGCTTCACAGTCTCCTGTTTTGCTCATTTCGAGGTATTACTATATAAACTATATAAACTCTTTATCGCATGGTAGCCTCATGTAAAGCTCCAACCCACAGGGCTCGGGCTCCCACACGTGTTTGATTGAGCATGCAGCCTTACTGTCCGAAGTCCGAGCTTCCGAAGCTCCAAAACTGCTGAGAACACTGATATCCTTGAACATCTTAAACCTAGTGAGACAGGGGTCTCGACCGAAACCAAACCCTTTCCATTGGTTCGGGCCCAGATTCTCAGGGTTAGCATAATATAGTTTTCGCCCTTTTTTTGGGCGACCTTCAGCGGCCTTGCTGCAAAACTCCCAAAAAAGCATCGAAAGCACACAAAAGCCCCTGGAAGGAAATTTAGAATGCTCAAGGTGGACTCGGTCATTCTGCAGTCAAACATCCTGACCCTGCCTAATATGTGTTTCTTGTTGAAGCTCTGTGTGCATTTGTTTGTCCATTTCATGAATAAAGAAACTGCCCTCCCCTGACCTAAACCAATTCCAGCGCCTTAAGCCTCTTCCCAGTCCTCACTGACTCACTATACCCCCAAAAATATACATTCCGTCCGACTCTGACTCACTAACATGGAAGTGGAAACCACCCTGTTTGTAGAGGAGCATAGTCTGCCCGGCGGTCACTTTCCACTTCCATAATCAGTTAGTGAGTTAGCCCTAACCCCCCATCCACCTAAACCAATTCCAAGCGTCCAAGCCTCCTCCCAGCCCGAACTTTTTCCACGCCCCCATTTCAGAAAGAGCCTCCACATATCTCCACATCCTATACACCTCCAGTCGTACCTCCAAACCGGTACGCTATGACTGGACCCTCCAACCCCACCCGGAGGCCAAACAAATTGACCTGTCCTTCCCTTTCCGTCCCTGGTCGGCCTGGAGATCCTAAGATCTCGGACGACACGGGGCTCGCCAGATATGCACGCTCGCCCGGGCGGTCTGGCTCGGGCGGTGCCCAGGCGGCGCCGTCGCCGCGGCGGCTGGGCACTGGAGGCCGCAGGCGCAGCACGGCCATGGAGGCCAAGTGGAACGGGTTGAAGGAAAGAGTGCGGGTGAAGGGATGGAGATGGATGGAGGCCGGTAGGTGCTGGAAGATGCTGCACTGAGTGGGTGTGGAGCAAGTCATAGCGAGTGGGGGTGAGGGTTTGGGGGGGGTGGAAGGGGGTGGAATAGGGTTTAGGGCGTGGTATGGTGTGCTAGTGGGAATTGGGCAGAAGTATTGGTGAGCAAAGGTGTGCTAGCAAGCTAGTTTGAGTGAGAGCAGCGCTGTGAACTTGATTCAGCTCTCAAAATAGCTCTAAGAATCTGGTGGGACCATTCAGTATCGGCGCGCAAAGCAACATCATGATGCTTTCCGTTTCAATGTTGCTGCAATTACCAAAAAAACACATGGTCTGGGATGTGATTCGAAGGTCAGCATATAACAATTCAGAATTTGATTAAAGATCACCATGGGACCATGGGGGTGTACTTTTTACATAATCTGTCATTGTGGTGATACTTGTCCTTTTGGACCATGAAACGATGCGGCGGCCAAGCGTGCAACATGAGGCAACCCCTTCTGGCAGGATCCTTGGCTGACGTTGGACTGGAAGAGTTCAGGTGTCCATGAATAAGCCCCTTGTGGGTCCGGGTATGTGCCAAGAGAAGGGCCTCAATCAAATAAATCTGATCAGATGCGTTATGCATTGTTGGGGTTGCGTCCACGAGCACTCAATCTATTTTTTCCAAGCCTTACTACTGCCAATTTCTAGCAGCTAGGGCCCCGACCAACTAGGCCGTCTGTGCAGTTACAGTAACACCTTTTGTGTTTCATAATTTGGGGCCTCTGGCAGTGTGAAAGCATTCTCTTCCAAGCCTGAGATATTGGGGGACATTGGGGGCAACAAGTCTTGACTGACCCTTCCACATCAAGGTAGATTCAACTCTAACCATGCCTTCCAACAGCATCCAACGGCGTACTAAATTACTAAACAGCTTCTCCCACAACACCCAAACATGAAATCCACCTCCCTAAGTCAAGTTGATTCACCCTCCGATTTCCAGTTGCTCCGTAAGAGTTCTTTATACACCGTGTTTTTCAGAACTCTTCTCACCCCGTCTCTCTGTCCGTTCAAAGCATTCCGCTTCCTTGGTATATAGTCCTTTTTGGGGGGAGAATAGAGGGGTTGAGGGATTTTTCCATCCACATACCTGGCCTCTCTGTTCACTTGGGGGTATCCATGAATCTACCAAAGCCACCAGCAGTTCCACGCCGGGGTGCCGTTCGTGCACGGACGGTGTTTGGGTCAAAACCCGTCCGACATGGAACTGCTGGTCTTGCTTGGTAGATTCCCCCCAAGACATTCCTCAAAACAAAAACACATTGACTCTTGAAACATCTTGAAACCACCCCAATGTAGGAGAGAAGGCTGTCAGTCCCATGAAGGTGTTTGGGTTCTACATAAGGCTGTCTCTGCCCTCCGCCAAGCTGCGATGGCACTGGATCGCCGACCACACTGCCCTCCACGTGCGGCAGCGCCGGCGCGTGCGGCACCACCGGCCTCCGGTGATCACGGGAGAACGGTGAACGCGGCGGAGGTGCAGGAGGTGCCCCCCCGGTGGGAAGCTTTTTATGAAAGCATATATACCCTAGGACTCAAAACCATATCCTAAGGTGGGTGGAGCCCTAGGGATAGTAAGTTCAACGTGTCATCCCAAAAAGAGTCCATCTTGGATTCTTGGATGGACCTTTGTCTCATGGTGCATTTTTTGTTGTGTGAAAAGCAACCCCAAAGTACGTCGGTCTATGCAGTTTGTGCTAACCTTTGAGTGTCTGGGCATGGAAGAGCTGGCAGCGACGACGTACTCATCCAGCAGCCTCACCGACGCACAGACCCCCAGGTAAATGGTTACAAGAAGGATGGTGCGATGAACGGCCAAGGATGGTCCCATCACGGTGATCCACTCGTGAAACATCCGGTTTCTGAGTTTGGAGAAAATCCTTCACCATCCCTTCTTGGTTGGTCCTAGGTTTCTATACCAGCAGCATCCCTTCTGAATCGTCTCAAATGGACCTATACTTGGGGTATGGTGAAAAAAAATGTCCCGCAGGTCATGTGATCGTTCTTTTGTACTCGTGTCGTTTTCTCTTAAGCGACGTGGGCTCTGTGTACAAGTCTTGTGGATCTCCAAATTTCCACACCCCGACCAGGTACATTTGATGTGTTTCCTACTTTGTGGTCCCTCCTGGGCTCCCCCTAGAAGAACACCTTCTGAGCAAAGGATATCAAAGGATGCTTAGTGATGTAGTAGAAGAAAAAAAACTGGGCTCCCCCCGATCTGTTCGGACTAACCGCACCGGTCCAGGACCATCCGAATCGTCCTGAAAGGCCCCGGCCACAACCAATGGAAAGGTTTCGTACGAACTCGCCTCCGTGACAGACCATCATCAGGAGGTACCTGGACCCTATTGGGATGATTAATAATACCATACAGGTCAAAGAGACTGGACTTGCATAAGCTGTTTGGGATGATTAGTACGGAGGCATACCTGGAACCGCTGAGTGACCCCGTGCGGATGGCGGACCGACCGATTCTCAGCTACCGGACGAGGACGTTGGCACCGTGGGCGCCGGCGCCGGCTCCTGCGGGAGTGAAGGAGCCAAAGACCAGGGCCCTCCTAAAGGCCTAAGATGGCCTAAGAATAGCCCTAGCCCCGAGTTTCGGGGGCGCAGGTAGACCTAGAACTCATAGAACCCCCCAACAAATTGACACGAATCCAGTAGAAGATAGTCAGATAGTCGCAGCTTCAGATTCTGTCAGGCTGTTTTCTCAAGGAATATGAGCCTCAAGATCCTGGAAAAAGGATCAGAAGGTCTCGTGCAAATCAATGGAAAGTAAGCTGAATCTCGAAGAACCCGAGCCATACAACAAAAAGAGGGTAACATTCATGTCACATTCTGGTAGTGAAATCTAGGTCTACTGACACCCACACTGAGCCACACCTGGAACTCCAAACAACCAGAAACAAATGGTTGTTCCAATATTGGGTCAGACAGAGATCCTTTTGCATAGGAAATGGCTGGGACTGGGGGAGTTCCATCCAGAACTCTTTCTGCTTGGGAGCTGGAGCTTCCAAGCGCCGAAGGTCGCTGTGGTGTTTCTGCGACGCGACGCAGCGTGACCGGTGAAGCTGTTCCAGTCAGCGCAGCGCAGACTGGGATGTCCAAGTGGATCCAGGTCCGTTCGTCGTCCCTGAGGATCCAGGAACCTATTTGTCTGTGCCCCGGTTCCTGGATAGAGTGGTAACTGGGATCTAACTGCAGAACCACTTTGAGGGGATCTCTCACTGCAGAACCACTGCAGTCTGGTTCGATTCAGTTCGACTTAAAACCATAACATCGGCATCCATCGGCCAAACCTACCGTGGCTGCCTCGTTCCGGATACTACTCGTGGCTGCCTGACAAATGCCGGACCGATATACTGCCAGCTCCTCAGAAGCTACGTATACGGGCCCTCCAAGGGCCTAGATATTTCTACCCTAGGGATCCAGTCGTAGCGAACCTCAGAAGGTACGACTGGCCCTGACGTTTGGGCGAGTGTCTCCAATCACCTGAGAAGGTACGACTGGATCCCTAGGGCATGGGGACTGGACTTCCATTGGCCTTTGAAACATTCTCAGTTGCCCACCTCAACTATCCCCAAGTTGGAAGAACATACCTCATCCTATATACAGTATATAGGCCATCTCGGTATATCGACTGTTCCAGGTTTACTGGGAGACCTTCAAGGTATATAATTATTCCCTACAGGTTTATATTTCCTCATTGCACTGGACCTGGTCATACAAAAACTAGACCAGGCGGTAAACAAAGAGGTTTTACTGGGCCAGACTGGACTTGGGATTGAATATTCCACCCATGGATTGTCTGGATCATGTCGTCCCAGCAGTCACCAGCGGTGGAAGCCTTGAGTTTGGCACCGGCGTCCGCTTCAGGCCCAGCTGCCACATCTCCACTGCCGCCTTCGAGTTCATTCGAAAGCACCCGGGACGGACCTTCCATGGATCGCCCGGGGAGGCTGGTGTTTTCCCGAACATGAACAGAATGGACCACCTAGTAAAGAGGTCAGGTCAACCCACCAGGCTCAGTCCCTGGCTCCGGGTGTCACCGCTGGACCCTGTGCCAGGACCCTCCGACCGGACCGGACCGGCCATTCGAGCCGTTCGGACGGAGATCCGCTAACCCCGTTGAACACCCCGAATCACCGTGCACGGACGAGTCGCGCCCGGAGGGCCCCAAAGGCCGGTGTGACTCGTCCGACTCGTCAGTGGATTTGATGTTAGGGCACCCCCAACCTCCGATCGCACCCCTTTGATGGACCCTGGGACCCGGAAAGACGGGTTTTCCTCTACAAACCCGTGGGTTTTCAGGGTCCATGTGAGTTTTCCACGGGGCACCTGGCCCGGGGCCCAGCTAGTGTTGAGTCGTCCATTTTTGGGGGACCCCAGTCCTTGGGATGAGGAGCTAAGTGGGTGGGGAAACATCTTGGGTTGGTGAAGGTTGCTGGTTTTCTTGGACCATTTGCTCATATATCCAGGCTTCTGATCCCTTGCGACATGTGACTGTCCCAACCAAGCTGACCTTACAACAGCCCAACAGCGAAAACATCTCAACACCACCACTCAGTTCCCTGCTACACTACACCACCTGGCGCCACATCAGTTCTGCGCAGCCTCCCACCAATCCCTGCCTAAAGCGGGTTTGGACAAGGGTGTCGGATCCTGCAGCACGATCCGGATCTTTCTTCAGTTGAGCACCCGAAAACCGAGCGTGAGTTGGCGACTTGGGTTCCATGTGGCTTTGTGAAGGGTCTTGAGTCTTGAAGGGCCGGTTTTTGCCGGAAAAGGCATCTGTTGTCCAAACGATCGCAAAGGAACTCACCCACCGGGCTGAAAAGGATTGTGAGAATGGAGTTTTGCCCAGCCCTGTCCAACATCGTCTGACCCTGTCCGAATCAAGGACGCGTCCAGCCGGTGAAGGGGACTGGTTTCGGGTCCATTGCGGCGTCACATGTCAAAGCCCTCCAGAAGTGGTCGGGTCCAATGATGGTGAGGGGAGAATGTGAAAGACTTTGCCCTAGGCCTCCAGGTACCTTCTGAGGACTGGAGCCCCTAAGGTTGGGTATCGCCGGGGATTCCGGGATCAAACTCACACCACTTGAATCAATATCTGCCCAAATCAATTCCCAGATAGTCTGGCCATGGCATATGCCGAGGAACACCAGGGTGGGGCGCCGAACCGACCGAACGAACGGAGGAAGGAAAGGGGTGTGCCATTCCGACGGACTCCATGAGGAGAGTCTCTCCCCTCCTGAGCTAGACCTGCAAATGTGGTGGGGAGCGTTTCAAACAAAAACGCCGAACACGCTTATGAAGTAATTCAGTGCTTTTGAGGACACTTAAGTAGGAATTCCAGGTGTTCGAGGGCACCTAAACACCAGGTGGTGGAAGCCATTTCTTCAGGCTCTACGGTTTCAATCCACGCTCCTCGGCACAGCACGAAGCGGTGCGCTCCTCGACAGGTGCCGGATCCATGGCGTCTCCCGTGGGGCTCCGCGGTGGCTTGTTGGTCACCTGGAAGGGAGGCATGTCCTCCGGTTCAGAGGTGAGACTGGCCTCCAGTCGTACCAAACCGCTTCGGTTCGGTGGGACGACCGGGGCCCGGGTGCCATGTTCGGGTCCAGTCATACCGAAGCTGAGGAGGTACGACTGGAGGCCTAGGGTCATATTGGCGGAAGAGGTATCAGAAATACATTGCTCCTCGCAAAAAAAACATGGGTGCAAGTGAACAGGTGCCAGTGAATGAGTGGTTTTGGTGGTCAAAGGCCGTCCACTCAGTGGCGTGATTTCTTGGGGCGTCTCCAATTCAGCGGTCCCAAAGCCACGGCAGTGGGCAAGTGAACTGACCCATTCAATCCAAAGCAATGGACACGAACGTGGAACATCCTCTTCAAACAACCCGCATGGACCCTTTGAACTGACCCTGGAAGGACTCTAAAGGTGATGGGAGTCCACATGGTCCTCAGGAAGGTCTACGATTTGAACGTTCTGAACTATAGACCGATTTACTCGTAAGAACTCGTGGCCAAGGAACACCCTTCGCGTGCAGGGATGATCACCGTAGTAGATTGGTTTCACAATGCATGGTATCTACCCCAGACACGACCCATGGGACTGCCAGGACGGACTGCCGATCAGTTGGGGTGGTGCCAAGGGGGTCTGTCTGGGGGCAGTCGTATGGCAGTCCCATGGAGTGTCTGGCTATCTGTATCACAAACAATCCATGTATACCTGGACCCGACTCTACAGGTCTCCGAAATGGTGGCTTGTCTTGGAGACGTAAAAAACGCAGGTGGTGACCTGTGAAGGAGGGTGCAAGGTCATTACTTTTTTGTTGACAAAGTGGTCCAGGAACTGCACTTTGGTGACCTTCCAAACTTCTAGCTTTGTCATGTGACCTTGTTTCATTTGGTGACCTTTTTAATACCCGCGCCTTCTCTATCCCTAGATCTCCCAACGATCATCAATAAAAACAGCCAAAAGGCAGATTCCTTGCATAGTTGGAAGATCCACCTGGACCTTACCGGTGTCCAATGGCAGTGTACAAGGCTAACCCCCCAACAACACCACTCAAGGAGGCGGTGTGTAGATCCTTTCTGACTCCCTGACGAGGTATTGGTCCATCCGAGAAAACCATGCTGCAGGGTGCTGCTCACCATTTCCGGTTTTCAGTTTCACCTGCCAAGTAGTCTCGTCGTGTTTGGTGATTCGTCACATGTGTTTCTTCTCGTCTGTGTCTCTGTGTCTCTGTATCTCCATGTGTCTCGTCGTGCGTCTCCTTGTGTTCTTGCTGCCCCCCCCTTGGCGCAGCAGCTTGGCGCCTCCAGCAAGAGCGCTCCGTTGCTCGGTGGTTCCGCATCTGCCGGTGGAAACGGTCCCAAGCGCCGGCACGACGGGCGGGGCGAGGACGGAGGTGCCCTAGACGGGGTCCGTCCAAGACCTGAGGTGTCGCAGAAATGACTCGAAATGCCTTTGCCCCGGGCGAAGACTCAGAGCAGTGGTGGAAAACAGAGCAGTTCCGAGTCAATGGTGGGGTGTCAAAGAAAGGGATTGAATCCAGAAATGAAGTGCACATGTCCCAAGACATGCATCCACTTCGTGCGCAGTTTCCTTTGGAACCCACACAAGGACATACGTTCCACGCGTGATATCACCAGGGTTCCAGTCGTACCTTCGCAGGTGTTCGGGGTGGATATCGGGTCTGCGCAGTAGGGCCGGGATAGGAGAACATCAAGACGATGGGAGAAGTCGATGCCCACTGCAGTTGCTTTTCGGTGCAGACACGAGACCAAAATAGACCAAGCCATTCTGAGTGGTTGAGACAGGGAATTGTTGTTGTTGTTGTTGTTGTTGTTGCTGTTGTTGTTGTTGTTGTTTTGTGTTTCGCGTGGCATGATGAAGCCTCAATAAACCTTGGCTACATGGGATTTGCACTCCCTGGAACATGCTTGACCTTTAAAAGAAAGGTTGACCATTCGTTGTAGTGTAAATTCCTTAGTGAAACAAGTGTTTTTTGGTGAAAACCATTAATTAAATCAATGGTTGTTGGAAGCCTAGAGTGATTAAGCGGATGGCATGGTTCAAGGATGACCCTCTGGCGGATTCATACATGTGAATACAAGACAGCGGGTGAACTCCACTTCCATGTGGAGTTCTAGGGAGAGGCTCCCCAACCCAGCCTACACAATGTCCAACAAAACCAATGTCCACCAGTTTGATCCACCCTTCGCCACGTTTCGACTGCCTTTCCTCGGCCGTGCCATCCGTCTCACACACAGGTGCCAACGTTCGAAGCCACACACACCAACCACACCAACCACGTTGGGCACACCCAAATCCCGCTTCCGCACACACCCGGTACGACCGGCAAACACCCCTTCGATCGACCGTTCGATCGAACCCACCGGTGATAGGGGTCGTGTAGGATGGACTGTGCTGTGATGTGTAGGGATGCAACCATATCCTCAGGTTCGGTGGTTAGACCCCCAAAACCCATCCCAACCACCTTCTCAGCAGGTGGTTGGAGCCCTAAAAGATTGGTCCACAGACCTTCGGATGGAACAGAAAGTTCCAGTGACTGACCCAATTATATAGCTGGTCGATCATATGGCACCAGGAGACCCTGCTTTGGGTTTCGACCGACCGGCCAGATCAACGTGAAGAGCTGGCGCGAGACACAGGTGCCACGATCCAGGCGACGATCCATCTAGAATTCCCCCTCCACCTCCTGCAAGGAGGGAGACTCGTTCCTGGACTGATTGTCGAAAGACCCAAATCTCCTGCGGCGCATCACCGAAGCGATCCTCGTGTCTCACAGGTCTGGGGGTCAAAGCAATCCGTTTTGAGGACCGGTCGGGTGAACGGAACGGGTGCCAGGGGGTCAATGGGGCGGCAGTCCTATGGCAGTCCCATGGAGTGTCTGGGTTTGGGTCTAAGATGGTCTAAGCATGTCTAAGCAATGTCATTGAAGAACTCATAAGACATCGAGAACTCTGGCATGAGGGCAGCTGAGAAAACATATAGAGGCATGATGAGGCATGCCAAGGGCCACCTTTTACTTGCAAAATAACACGGAAGGACCAAGTAATATAATAGAGACTCAAAGAAAACCACGGCCCCCGGGCCATGGGTTGTCTAACAATAGCCCCAAACAGAGGTAGAAGGGTGGACACCCAAACTTCCTTCGGCCTTTTTCCCTACACCACCAAGTACAACCTCAGGTTCGGTAGCTCCTGGACCCGAACATGGCACCTTCTCACCCCGGTCGTCCCACCGAACCGAAGCGGTTCGCTACGAAAACGGAGGCCGAACCGGGTGTATAGCTCAACCTTCAGCCCCGTTCGCGTTCTGACCGCGTCGTCTCGTCCTCGATGGTGGGATCCGGTGCCTCGAACATCAGCTTCACCTGGCGCGGTTCGAGCGGAGACCGAGCGGTTCGACCGAGCGGTTCGACCGAGCGGTTCGACCGAGCGGTTCGACCGAGCGGTTCCTGGTGTGGGAGGTCCAAACCAGGGCACGGAAGGGTCGGGCGCGCCCACTGCGGGCGTGAAGGGTGGTTGATGCATGGTGCTTCTATGTTTATACTTGAAGTCGGAACCACTTGTGTTGCTCGGCACATGGACACACATTGACGTTGGATTCAGAGGCACGAGCATGGGGCTCAGTCCGGTTCGGTGGTGAACTTCAGAGGAACATTGATAGTGGGTTGAGAGTAGATGGCGCAATCCCCAAACGGTTTATATGGACCCCCATCTAAAAGGCATCTTGGGGGCTGTGATGGTTTGTGCCATCTACTCAAACCACTGTATTGGCCGGTGAATCTTTAAGGCTGCTTCTTGCACGAATCTCTGAATCTCGGTGCGGCATTGATTCAGGCATTCACTGGCGGTTTTTCTGACCACGTTCCGACCCTTGAATACCAGGATTTCCAAAACATCCCTACTATACAGGTCAAAGACCTCATTGGTGTTGATGATGCAAGAACACTACTCATTGAGATAAAGGACCAGGGCTTTATTGGGTCCTTGGAGCTCTAGGGCATGTTTCCTTTCGCTGAAGGAGTCCAGGGTTCCCAATCAAACCTTCCAAGTGTGCAAACCCAACAAGAAGCTTGATCATCCTATCATGATTGATCTGTCTTGCTGTAGGAAAGGGCAATCGGTTGAGTAGTACTCCAAAACATGTATGAATCTATAGTAAAGTTCAGGATCCTGACCCTTCTTATAAGGAAGTACTGTCGGTTGGAAGACCCCCAGCAGGCAGGTTCCCATACCAACCCGCCAGCATCACTTCGTTCATGCATCTTCCAAGAGTTTCAAAGGGGTGCTTAATGGAGGTTAGGGGTGCCCACTACCCAATCACTTAGGGACTAAACACCACCCCTTTCTGACCCCTGGTTCATGCATCTTCATGGCCCTGCCTTTGAGCCTCTCAGAAAGACATTCGTGTCCATGGCATCGATTCGCCAGCTCAGCGCCAAGATTTCAACTGACCCGTGGAACAATCAGACCATCCGGTCTGGGCGTCATGGCTGGACTACACTACTATCCGGGATCTCCAGTCAGGACACCCAGGCAGGATGGTGCCATCCGAACTAGGAGGTAACTGCATGGAAGAATAGACATTGTTTATATGATTATATATATATAACTATATATACCAGGAATCACATGTTGGGGTGGGGTTTTGGTCCAGCCAGTGAATGGATGATTGAGAACCGCTGATTGCATAGGGATGCCCTGTTCTTGGTCTCCCTTCAACATTCAAATCTCTTATTAATTGGGCGCAGGCACACCACATCATCCTCCCTTCATTTGAAAGAATTGGAATTGATCAGCGCCGCCAAACGCAAAATGACCACTGCCACTGTGGGGCCGATGGCCAAAGCACTGCCACTCTCCATACATGCAGGCAATGCATCAAAGGTGATTGGGCCACACTCACATGATGATGGCCATCACTCCATCAGTGCCAGTACCAGGGGTACCCCTCCAATGTTTTCCTCCTGGTATAAACCCCAGGTGTTGACTCTTTTTCGGAGTCTCTTCACTGCTTATAAATTCGACACGCAAGACCTGGCAGGGTGCATTTCTCTACTTTCCGTGGCAGGGAGCAGCCTGCACCAGATGAACACCAAAGTCCCTACAATCTCAGGTCGCTGCACCTGCCACTGCTCCGTCCCCCTCCGTGTTGCCACTGCTCACGGCCAGCGCCTTGACGTTGCTCACGGCTCGGAGCCAAAGGTCCTGGACAGAAGGTCAGAGCGACGAACATGTGATAGCGGTCGACCGTAGCAGAAGGTCAACTGGGAAAACCGTGGTTCGTTTATAAAGGCAGAAGAGAAAAATAACAAACAAATCCTATAAGATCTATATATCGAAACATTGTTCTTCACGACACGTGACATGACATACTATATCTGGAAGAGTCTGTAATTATAGATACAGTCATATACAGTCTAGAGTCTAGAGTATATAGGGTATCCACGCACAGTAAAACCCCTTGTAGCTCCTTATAGTTTACGTTTGAAGTCGGATGGCTGGGTCTGACCATGGAATACCCCCCTATAGGTACATGGATCTTGAGGGACACTGCGACATTGATCCAAATGTTGTGGTGTCAACCCTAGGGATCCAGTCGTACCGAACCTCAGGTTATCTGTAATGTGTGGAAACACTCTACGTCCTGTGCCAGGAGGGTGCCAGGGTCCAGGAGGGTCCTGAACCTGAGAGAAGGTCCTGGATCCCTCAAACCGTCATGTCTTGGTCCAACTGCACTGGGCCCCGTCCTTCTCGTCGCCATTCCGGGCGCAGAAGCGGTGACTGAGCGGAAGAAGCGGTGGAAGCGGTGACGATCTGCGTGGATCTGGGACTCCACCGTTGGGCGGTGGTTTCATTGAGGGGTTCCTCGTCAGAATTCCAATGCATGGAGTGTCGGGAAAAAAACACCAAAACAGCTGGACCCTGTACACATGACAATGAAAATTTAAACAAACAACAAACAACTGCTAGCGCTCCAACAAAGAGAAGGTCTTATCTGGAGGCTGGAGGTCAACTAGCCACAAGCTGCCGATCGGTTGTCGGAGGGTCCAGTTCAAACACCACATCGATGTTCCAACACCCCTAGATTGAGTGACAATTCGACCTATTTTCCAAAGAAACCTGAACCTTCCCCTTGAGGTGTCGTGTCTGCCAGGACCCTTTGAACGGTGCAGGGCCTGGGATATTCCCCACACAGGGGCGATCCACACCGCTGGATGCTTCAGGTCGACTTGCCAGTGCTGCTAGTGAGGGGTATGCGCTATAGGAGGACACCTTTTGGGACCGACGCCCGAATGACGATCAGGAACACTAGGCTAGGCTGAGGATCCTCGGCCCTTTCTGACACACCATCAGGATGGCGCACTCACATCTGAACCCTTCAATCCTTTTCTATATTAGTTGGATCTACCACTACCAGGACCTTCCGATAGGTGGTCTAAGAGGCTATATTTTATAGATACGTCTTGGAAGGTCTTGGTGTATAAGACCCATGGTCACCACAACCTTTACGATAAGACCGGCGAACCTTCAAACAACACATCCCCAAAGATGCTAGTAGTAGGACCTTCCTCGAGCCCTCCGCAGGCCATCCAAAGATCCACGGACTCGGAAGTGTCGCGTTCTCCACATGGGTGTGTATTGGAAGAATTAGGGAGACACCTCAAAGACTACGGCTATATCAAAAACAAACTAAATCCTGCAAAATCCCTTGGTCGAGGGATGGTCTCATTCGAACTTTCATTGCATCGCGTCGGAAACGAAAAAATGTTTTCGCCGGCACGCCGCTTTCAGCGGTTCTCAGTGCCCGCGTTTTCAGCCGCTTCGTGCGGCGTTTCAAGTTCCGGGCTGGTCGATGCCAAAAACGTTGCAGTACACCCCGGAGCGCGTGGAGACCTGAGGATGCAAAGCGCATGCCAAACGCGATGGACAAACTCGATGAGGGGCGGTTCGGCGGGAATCCCCCAAACGCCATGCGCATAATTGTTTGAGGATGCTTCACTTCATCAGATTTCCGGACCAGCGACCGCCTCCGTTCAAAAGAATTACATTGAACACAAAACGGCCCTAACATGCCTGAACCATCATTGGACCGACCACTTCTGGAGGGTTTTGACCCTGCAGGAAGAATTACCGTCCGGGATAGCATGGTTTGTTTGGCGCTATGGCAAAGGCTTCTGACTAGCAAAGCACAAATGAGAAACAATTCCGCAATTAGTGAACATTTCATTGGCCTCGGTTTGATGCTGTTTTACCAGTAGGGAGGTATGGAGGTACTTGGAGAGCCAGGTGCTGAGTCTTGGATTTTGATTTTAGGTGCATGAGCAAATGTGAGCCAATTTGATCTACCTGGTGCTTCAGTTCGTGATCGAACTTGACATTTTAGCGACTTTAGTTGGTTCGGTCACTTGCTTGGGTGATCAACAAGGTCACCAACGAGGAGTTCCAAAAAGGTCACGAACTGAAGAAACTGGTGGTGTTCACTTTGTGCCTGGTCGTGTGCTGGTGGAGATGAGAGCACTTCAGCCACCGCTTCCGCCACTTCCACTTCCAAACGTGCCAGAACCCATGGCATTGGCATAGATACCTGCCTCCCTTTTCAGGTGATTGAAGAGGTGTTTTTTGGTCTTTTTGGGGCAGCCTCTATTCCAGTACATGTACGCATCGAAGTTGCGGCTCCCAGGAACCAGGCAAAACCAAAAACACAATTTTTCCAATTTAAGGTTGCCAAAAGCTGTGCTTGTGATATCGCATGCATTAAATAAATTCCTCACCGCTGAAGGGCAGAAGTCCGGACCCATCGTCCCTCTTCTCTTAAATGTATGCCCTCAAAGCGCTGATCGTGTGAGTGAACCATTGTGGCAACTGCTGTGCCACTTCACCCTCGGGCTGGCTGACTTCAAAGAGTGCCGCCAGGGTCTCGCAAAAGGCTGGAGGATACCTTGTGAGGGCGCCTGTCATCCAGGCTCAGTCTCATCGCGTCCGATGCGACTGGTCTTCGGAATTGGGGTTGTCCTTCCTCTAGGACAAAGAACTCATGGTTGCTCGCGACACCATGCACGATCAACAGCTCTGTCGGCTTCGGTGACAACCCTCCGAAACGTTATTGTTCGACCAAAACCCTTTGGCATAAGTGGAAGTGGAGGAGAAACGCCATATATAGACGGCAAGCAACTCTCTTCAGGCTCAACTGGGTACTCACTCCTGCCGCTCCACGGATAAGTGCATTCCACAACAAGATGAGGGCGACACCAGGGAGCTTATTCCCCAGGCGCAGGTCAACCTGGAGCATCTCTTTTTTGGTCAGAGACCTCAACCCTTGGGGTCATTAGATTCGATCTCTTGAGCGCACAACCCTCGGTCCTTTCTCACATGCCACTGCTGGTGCCTTGCTCCAAGTCTTGCAGTGGCCCCGCGATGAAACGCAAAAGAACCTTTCCTTCAGGGCCCTGTTGAAGAGGCTCAGTGGTTCACGCTTCAAAAGGTTTCCACAGAGATGCAGACGTACCAGCTCCTTCCAGGTACGACTGAACATCGCCTTGCCTATACTCTCTCCTGAAAACAAATGAGCAATCACAGGGGGAAATAAGGGACCTGCCCGGGGGGGCTCCACAAGATATCAACAAAAACCAAGGCCTCGCATTCAATAATTGCACAGCATGTTCATGGACAGCTGCAGTTGTGACATTTTTGTAAAAACACCAGTTAAGCGACAAACAACAAGGTCAGCAACCAGGCACTCTTGATGCTCCTCACACCAGGCCTTCCACCACTCCTCACACCTCAGAAACTCATCCGGATACTGGAGTGTGGCAAATCGCAATTGTTCAAGCCAGAATTCATTGCTTGGTCGGCTTTGGGACACAGTATTCCAAGCACTTTGCACGCCGATCCACTCCTGGTCAGCCTCAACATATCCAGCCCCTTCTGTGCCTGCGTGAATGGTGCTTGAAGAGATCTGTCAAAGTAGAATCAATTGGAAGCAGGAAAGTATTTTGTGACATGGTCAACTAAGTTGGGATATCGGTCATAGATCATGAGGCATGCCTCACACTGCGTCCCTTTAACACAATCTTGTGCTCGATTGGCTTTAGTACAATCTCCAAATGGTTGCATTGAAAGTGAGCGTGCTCATGACCATGAGTCTCAAATAGCTCTTCTTTGCCAAAGGTCCAAAGGCATCTTGCGGTTAGCAAAGATTTGAGATGATTTGAGCGCGATATTTGGTGACCAGATCATGATCAATTGCAAACTGGAAGGAAAAGTCCTTTGCTCAATCAAGGATGCTCAATCAAGGAAAAAGCCCGTGCCATGTCGTGCATCATTCGTTTCCTGTGTCCACCAAACTTTGTAAGTTTCAGCATCCTCAATGACCAAAGTGCAAGTGACAGAGGGCATTTCACAGGCATCAGCAAGTCCAAGCCTACGGAGGATGGATCGCCTTGGCGGTGTCTCACAGCAACAGGCTTTGGTGAACTCATTCCAAGGATATGGATGAGGAATACCTTATAGCCCGTCTCAATCTGCACTCTTCTCATCCCAACCACTTGTCGACTTCGGAAAGTGAGAGATGGCAAAGGAGGTTGGACTATAGGGCAAGGCCAACTTCCTCCTCGCCCATCATATCACTCCAATCATATCCTGTAACAGCCATTTTGTGCAACGCAGATCCTTGGAACATAGCTTGCATCTTAGGTACCAGCTGCCACCAGCCAGGTGTGAACCGTGAAAATGGTGAAAGCACCACTGCATTCGTGATAGTTGATCATAGACATGAGCACGTCCGAATGGTCCGCAATGGCATCACTGAGGTAGAGAATGCCAAAGAAAGGTGGCAACTTGGATTTGCTTGAGGAGTCCAGAACCTGCGTCAGATGGGAGGCATCAGTCTCATTGATATCAATCTCTAGATCATTGTCATCACTGTGTTGAGACGGATCAGAAACTTGACCTTCAACAGCACCATTGATGTGCGAACTGTGTGTACACGTGGGATCAGCTTGGTGAAAAAGTTGTTGCAGTCTGTCTTGTCTCCTCCACTGATCGCAGATAGGCTCCATCGTACAGAGGAACTTGTTCATCCCGACCCGGGCGCTTCTGTCGCGCGGCACGAAACATCAGCACGTGTTCAGATGAGGAGCCTTGCAATCATTTCGGAAGTCGACAAGGAGTAAACATATGTCTCCGTAGTTACAATATGACATGTCCTCCGACTTGATAATGATTATGTCGTCTTCCCCATTCTTCTCCGCAAGCTTGAGGTCTGTCTGGGGCTGGTGCAATTCTGAAGCATGCCTCTCGTCCTCTTGGTTCAGGCCTGCCATAATTCCAGCTTTCCATTTGGCATAGCTGCCCTCGTGCTTGGTAATGTCTAACTTCAGCTTCCCGAGTTTGGTGAGCACCTTCATCTCTTTGTTGAGGTCCTTTCTCTCGCTGTCGGAGCTCCTCTCTTCCTCTGTCATGCTTTCATGAGCTCCTTTGCTTCCCGGCCGTCACCGGGACCCATCTCATCACATGGATGACACCCTTTGATCCCACCTTCTTCATACAAGCCTCGACCTTCGTCGTCCTGCAGAAGTGGTGATGCATATTGGCTCCCATCTCATGGCGAACCCAGTGACTGTAGCGTGCATCACTGCACGCGACATACTCCCCCTTCACGAAGAAGCCGTCAGCATCCAACGGGTGCACCTTGACCTCCAGGATGGAGTGCCCGTGAGGCTTGTGGTGATCATCCATGCTCTCGATGTCCACATATCAGTGCGAGAGTGCCGCGTGCTCCTTACTCAAGGCGGCTGAACTGGGGCTCCCCCCAGCGAACACTGGGGGATCCGACAACGCCCAGCAGATCGGGGAACCCCTGCCTTGAGCATTGAAGCTGCGACTTCACGGCGCTCCAAAAGACATGAAACAAGCACATACCCCCCTGACTTGGTCATGAGAACATGGAACCTGTGAATTGACCGATTTCGAGCATTTGTCCGAATACCAATGACTAATGACTCTACAACTCAGTTGCTTTTTGAGGGTTCCATGTGGTCCTCTGGAGGGGGATTTGCTTCACTCAGTTCCCAAGCAATCTCATGATCGATCCGCTGCGCCGAACCGATTCCGAGTTCGGCCTCCGGCGCACGCCCCGACTCCCACGACTCCGCTTCGCGCGATCCGGCTGCCCCGGCCGTGGTGGATTCCGACAGTCCGATGGTGGACAACTGCGGAGCGGAATCGGTGGATCGGGTCCAGCGGATCCGAGCTTAAGGAAGTCGTACGATTTGGGGGAAACAGTTAAGCGTTCACTATACCTGGACCTGAAGAAGGGGTGTCCTGTCTGGAGGTCCCTTAGTAGTGTAGGGGCTTCCATTGGTGACCCCTTTGAAGGTGCTGGTATACAAGTCTTATCATGGGGGATTGGAAGTTCTGGGCCACAGGCCCTATGGTTTAGTTCAAGCAAAGCAAGAGTGATCCTTGCGAACTCAGAGTTCTCCTACTGATGCAAGTGCTGTGAACCAACGACCATTGCTTCACAAACATCACATGACCTTGAACATTCAATATAATATATTCGATTGGCGACTGAGGACCAAGTACCTTCTCAGGTTAGGTGAAGTGTTCAACACTGCTATGTACCTTCAGAGGGTCCAGCCGTACCGAACCTGAGAAGGTACGACTGGATCCCTACAGAACCAACCTTGTTCAAGCATTTGTCTTTTTTTCAACATCTTGAAATATCTTGAAACCACATTCTTGTGGAATGACCCGGCAAGGAGGATCTTTGACGATAGAGAAATGCCAAGAATTGCCTTTCAAAGCCATCATCTCTACAAATCCTCCATGTGCAGGCTCCATGCCCCTCCTCCAGTCTTCGAACATGATCGAACCCTCCTGTTCCATCCTGCCTCGCGGTCACACCAAGCGTCTCGGTAGAGGGTCAACTTCGATTCGCCCGCGGAGTACCTCGGCTCGGGGCTCTGCAGGGATGTTTTGACGCTGGGTCGGTCGGACCCAAATCCTCTGGAGGGGTCGGGCTGTGAACGGACCTGTCGGGCTGTGAAACAAGAATCGCTCTCAGATGGACTCCCTGAGATAAGTAGCTGAGGATGAACAAGGGGAAAATCCAACAAGCTGGTGACTCTTGATAAGTAAAACACAACCCCGGAGATATGGATTGTAACACCTCTTCACTACCGGGGGCTTGAAATGTCAATTGATTCCCCAAGCTAGCTAAGCAGCTAGGCATTCAGATGTTGAAATGGTGGAAGATATGGCAGTGGGTCAAAACCGGCAGGCCTCAGTTGACCAGACAGGAGGTCAAGCACGCTCCTTTTTGGGTCAACCTCACCACCTGCCGGTGGTTTTCCACACCAGATTGAATGAACCAATCCACTGCTCCAACATGAGTTCTTTGGTGAAGGAAGATCATGAGCCCTAGGCCTCCAGTCGTACAACCTCAGGTTCGGTAGCTCCTGGACCCTCCCCAGTCCCACCCCACCCGGGCCCCGCTCGTCCCACCGAACCGAAGCGGTTCGCTACGAAAACGTGGATCCGTGCACTTCGACCGATCCAAGAGCACGCCGTAGACCGGGGCCGTACGGTGAAAACCATGAAGGGCTCGTTGGTAGCTGAAGGCTACTCACTTAAGTAACACATGAATTAGGTTTAGTGGGTTCAATGATCCAGCAAATTAGGTTTTTCACATCCAGTAGTTCCAAAGGGCAGCCTATTGGAAGATGATAGGGGTGCCCATGATCTACTCACTATAAGAATCACCCACTCTGTGACTCCTGAATACAATAGGTGAAAATCTGAAACCACCCATCACCACTCAGTGAACAAGTCTTGGTCCTTCGCTCCTCCGTTCAACCAAAAGGAATGCGCCTCGCGGGAATCGCCTCGAAGACCCTACAGAGGTTAAGTGACCTGAAATAGGACCCGTAACCTGGGGTACCTATAGGATAGTCTAGTTCGGGTTCTTCAACCTCTGCTGGACCCTTCCAATTCGCTTCAGACCGCAGTTCAAAGCTGAAGACTGCAGTGCCGGCAAGCCAGTAGGGCAGGGCAACAAATCCATGGCATACTATAGACCTAGCCTAATTCGGGTGATTTTGTCAAAAGGGTACAATATGGGTCAATTAGGCAGATCTTCCAGTTCGGAGTGTCTGTCGTACCTTTCAACACACCGGGCACCCTGTCTAACTATAACGTCTACAGCAGGCGCTCCGTCTCGTAAGTCATTCGCTCGCTCCGCGGCACGCATGCAGCTCCGCGTAGACCAACTGACAGGTGTCCATGGCGGAGCCATGGAGCAGGAAACCTGCCTTGGACGGACCGGTAGCCGTCGTGACCGTCGCACCCGTCACGTCCGTCCCGAGTTCGGGCGCCTGAAAACCCGAAGCTGTCGGTGGAGTGAAGGCTTTAGTCAACAAGTCCAAAGAGCAGCGAATCGAAGGAGTTTGCTTTCTACCAGCACCCGACTTGTAAACAGGTCTCTGAACTGGAGACCAATTGGAGACTTTCTTTGCTGGTGACCTGCTATTCAGTGTTCAGGGTCCAAACGGAAGCGTTCAGAACTCTTGGTCGCCTCTGCCGCCACTCACACTCGACCGCCCTTATGTGCCCTCATCGCCATCTGGAACCAACCTGAAGCCACAAACCTCCGGCAGCCGAACCAAAACTGCGCACCCCCACCGGTGAACACGAATACCGTCCCTTACCCGGTTCGGCCTCCGTTTTCGTACCGAACCTGAGGTTTGGTGGGACTGGGGTGGGTGCCAGGAGGGTCCAAATACCTTCTGAGGAGGTACGACTGGAGGCCTAGGGTTAAGCTCCACAAGATCCGTCGCAAACGGACCGTTCACTTCACCAGTCGTCCAACGGTGAAAATTCTTCACGGGCTCCAGTCCTGTGGGACAGGGTGGGTGCCAGGGGGGTCTAACCACCGAACCTGAGGATATGGGCCAGGATCCCTATCAGGAGAATAGGTCGTTCAAGACAGTCCGAGAGTGCGTAATTAACCGGACGACGCAACCTGGAAGATACTGGAAGTACTGCAGCTCTAGATGTTCGAGGAAGCACCTCCAATACCCTCCGAAAGGGAGGTACCTCAGGTCCTTAGTCTCCACCGAATGGCCCCAATTCCTCAGCTGAGGGACTAAGATTCGCGTGCGCGTGGCCTCGTTCCCCGGCAAGGGCTGTACCTGGCACGCAGGTAGATCCACAAAGGCGTCCATTGAGTACGGCCAGTCTCAAGAGGCAAGAGCGTGGCGGGGGGAGATAGAACAAAGGGACTGACTCATGCATCACGGATTCCGGGTGTCCATTAATAGCCTCAAATAGATGTCTTTCGGGGTGTCCATGAACCCAGGTTTGAAACAGGTGATCCAGCATGCCCTCGATGGATCGACAGACCTTCTGAACGGGTACTGTGTTTGACACCTTGAAACATAGCCCTGGAGGGTTCAATCGCATCCTTCTACCAGCGGCCCTCAGTTTGCCATGAAACATACAGGCTTTCACTCCATCGTTCACCCAAAACCTGGTGGTTGACGGTGTGTGGGGCCCCCCTGGTATAAGGTAAGTGACATCCTTGGGCATAAGTGACATCGTCGGTTCCCGACCGGTGAGTGTCATGGTCGCACCGGTACTGGGATCGACATGATGTTTTGTAAGTTTCTGGTCGCGGCGTGCTGATGCGTCTGCCACACTTCCTCCATTCACAACACACAACAACATGTTACGTATGTGTTATATACCCAGACACTCCATGTATGCCATATATTATGCCGCCCCATTGACGCCTGAAACCACCCCAATGTAGGTAAATATGCCATATATGGAGTGTCTGGGAATGTTATAAGTTATAATATAGTTAGGTCGCCACTGCTGGTTTTGGGGGACTAAATCTGTACGACATGATATTGGTCACCGCATCACAGTGTCACCGCTTTGCGCCTAAAAACCCAGCAGTGATGACCATAATTCTGTGGAAAAGCATCTGAAACAGTGACATTCTTAGCTCCACTTCGCGCCCAGTGCTGCTTTTTGGGGGGCTATGGCTGCTGCCGGCTGCCTACGTGATGACTGCGTGACTGCTTCTGCAAACCCTCAATTTCTGTATACCGTGTATATACCGTGTATACCTCTTCTCCCAGATCTGGTGACCCTGGAGTCCATGGAGGGGCGCTATGGCATCAGACTGAGTCTGACGGTTTGCCTCTACATCCCCAAGTCTCGGGTGTTCAGCGTCGCGTCTCGAGTCCACCAGGGTCCACCGAGTCGCGCCCGCCCGCCAGCATCCGGCGCTGCATCCGGTGTCGCTCCGGAACCAGAGACTGACAGGCACCTGGATGTCCGAGACCGGGAAGAGACTGACGGTCACCTGCCCAGTCAGCGCGTCAGCGCGGAAGGGACACGGTCCGTGTTCCGCGTTTTCAACCAACGGGACGACCGAGATGAACGGGACGTCGGGGGGCGGTTTTGGGCCCCTACCAGGGTCCAAACCATCAGCTTCGCTGATTCACAGGTCCTCATGCGGCCTGACCCGGCTAGCACGGGTCCTCTGGAGCCACTTTCGCATCCGAATCTTGACCCGGCTAGCCATGTGACTGTCGAGCCGGCTCACAGTTTGGAACCCATTCGCGCAACGGCGCGCGGCTCATGCGTGCAACTGGATGGATTATAGCGAACTGGGGGCACCGAATTCTGGGTCGCAGGTTGCTTCGGGTGGGACGAGAGTGGTCAGCAGCTGAAGAGCGTATTCGGCGACCTGGGTCACCTTGTTAGTCGTCTGGGTCGTTCTGAACTCTCGCGTGCGTGCGTGCAAGCACGTCCATGGTTGATAGGGGACGATGTCTTTGTTGAAGTGTCGTGCGCAACCATATGCAACAATTGGCGGTGTGAATGGGACATTGTGACACTGTGTCTTTTTCTCCTCACATCAGGCCGCCAAGTCCGGACTGGTTTTCAAAGGAAAAGGAGCTCCAAGAATCGAAAATTGGAAACGACTCACACAGCTCTCCCAGAGAAGAAGCCATGCAGCTGGAGGGCTGCACAACAAAGCTGTTAGCTCTGCCGTGCCGCTCTGGTTCTGCTGGGATGCCTAGCGGGGTTGGAGGCAGATAATACACCTAAACTCACCCGAATGATCCGGAATGCAGGTAAATATGACGAGTGTCTGGGTGACCTGACCAACAATTCTGTTTGTTTGGACTTGTCAAGTCATCCAGAAGAAAGGTCGACCAAATCATCAAGTCCTTATATTAAAATATTATTATCTTAGTCAATGTGTATATCTGCCTAGAGGATTTGCTGTCCAGGAATCCCGGGAAAACAAACAAACATATTCCCCAGGTTTGGGGATGATAACCCATTTATAGGATCATCTATAGGGAAAAGAGACATCGCATATATCTACCTATAGAGGACCTCAGTGGATGAGGATGATTCAGTTGCAGGCCTTTCCATCTCATTGCAGGCCTTAGTGATTTGCTTGTTGACCGACCATTACAGGTCATATTGACACCCCTATATCCTGAGGTCGACACTTCAGAAAATGGGTACATGCAAGTACCTGGTTTTTGGGTTCGGGTCATGTCCCCTTTTCCTGAAGTACAAACGCCGTTGGGTCCAGGTATCCCTCGGGTTTCGACTCGCGCACGGACTCTCTCGCGCACGAATCTACTTTCGCACTCGCACTCTCGTCGCGGTCGTCGCAAGCGCCTGGGAGACTAAGGTGCCAATCTTTTCCACCCATCGATCACGTTCCTGGCGGGACAGGTCGTGTGGAACCAAGCGGCAGGGTGCCGAAGGAACGGAGGAGAGGTGTGCGTGCCACGGTGTGCCCCTATTTTCCAACATCCACGGGGTTCTGGATGGGACTAGAAACCATGGAAGATCATGGAACTGCTGGCACAGCTTGCTTCGATATGAGATGGGTTCAGGAAGAAGACAAAAACATCAACCAGGCAAAACACGGCAGACTTATACGTATCAAACGCGTACATATTATCAGTGAGAAAGTTTGACATGTTTTTGTCCATCTAAATCACCACAAGTGCTCCCCCCTGAAATCGGCGCCTGGATAGTGAACTGTGGCTATGGATCCACTAGCTTCTAAGAGGGTGATGTGTTCGACACCTTTCTATGTACATACACCTGGGGGCTCCAGTTGTGCCGAATTGGAACGTATTGGATCCCAAGGATGTGAACATCCCAGCGGTTGAATAGAAACCACACGGGTTCAAAGGGCCAGGGGCGCCTTGTAGGCATTGCCGCCGGTGCATGCGAAGTAGAGGCACAGGTCGTGGCCCCCAGCGCGGAAGACCTCCGCTCGCCCGCCGAGGAGCTTCGCTCAATGCATGTCAAGACGGATGTAATAGTGGTCCCAAGCTGTTGGTCACTCAACAACAGCTTTAATGTTGCGAGGTATTAGTGCATATTTTGTATTTTTTTAATGTCTTCCCAAACACTCCTCCCTAGAGATCCGTTTTCGTACCGAACCTCATGTACGGTGAAGGAGACTATTAGGGCTCGGAGGGTCGAAGGTACCTTCGGTTCGGTAGGACGCACGATCCCTATAGGGTAATATATCCCAGACGCGACCCATGGGACTGTCCATAGGACTGCCGCCCCAGACAGACCCCAACAAAAACCACCCCAACTGATCGGCAGTCCTATGGCAGTCCCATTCGTCGCGTTTGGGTATGGGGTCTCCAAAAACCGGCTTTGAAGGACGGGAATTGAATCTGTTATATGTTGAACCCAAACCATCGATGGGACTGGACTGGAAGATTGACCTATACACATTCAGGGTGCTTTTGGGATACTCAGGGTAGAACGGTGCAGACCCGAATGTTGGGGCGGCTGGTTGATGGCGACAGCGACGGAAAACCCGTGTGCGTCACCCCTACCCCGTACGGCTGGGGTGTGTATTCAATATATAGATCGCCTTAATAGGGTGAGATAAGAGGCGTTCAGAAACAAATACTCCCACGGGTCCCGGAATCATGTAGTACACCGGCCGCCCACTCAGCCGAAAAGTTCATGGTTCTACCTGTGACACTGTGAGGAGCCACCTAGCCACGCAAAAGCTGCTTTTTTCCCAGCAATTGTATAAGACGACAAGTTTGATCAATTTAGCTGCACAAACCAATTTCTTCAGGCGGGGGTTTCTTCAGAGGTAGCAACCCTTGATTGGAATTGACGCTAACCGACATGTCAGAGAACTTAACTCTCCCACTGCATGGAATAAGGTTAAAACAGTGGGTTCACTCTGTCTATGGTCTCCAATATACAGAGGGATTCGTTGGGAAACTGCACTTGCAAGACACATTCCATCTGCTTCAAAGCTGAACATCAATGTCTCCAGCAGCTGGGAAGGTTTTCTATACCATGTAAGAAACGACGGTCATGACGTAAAGCGAGTCCAAAAAGACTGCAAAGATCCTTGGATCAAGTTCAATCACTCACCATTCGCCACTTCTCCTTTCACTGCATCCCTTTTCTACACCATTCTTCCCACCCAAAAAACCGGAAGTTCCATGATGGTTCAGGGGTGCTTTTGACCAGGTCACACCTCGTCCGCACTGGTTCCGACCTGCGATTGGTGCTCTTCCGTTGGTGCTCGGGGGGGGGGGGGCCGGTGACGCCGGTGATGGCCCAAGGAACGGTCAACTTGAAGACTGCCCAATAGGCTGAGTGCTGCAAGGTCTTCACCTGTCAGGACGAGGAGGAGAACGAAGGAGGAGAAGGGAACGAGACGGATCGAGACGGAACATGAGACGGAACCATGGGTGCAGACTGTGTCATGAGATGAACATAGATTGAAGGTAATTCAAATAGGGAGACCTCCCAAATCGACCCCATGGAAGAAGGAATGAATAGACCAACACCCATTGGTTGGGTCCCTCACGCTTCCTGGGGGGTCCCAGCGCCACCTAATACGGGTGTGCACCACGTCGCAAAGCCGCAAAACCCATTGGTTGGGGTTTCCCTATTAAAATACACACCCACATGGAACAGTATGAGAAAACACAAGCGCAGGCGACCCAGAACCCCTTGAATTGCCGCTCCCTGTGACCCATGAGCTCGGAAGCTGCGTCCGCAAATGATCCAAGCTAAAGTCAAGGTGAATGCCGATAAACGACTGCCTTTAATTTAGATACTACCATATAAGCTTCTTGGGGGTCCTTGACTTCAACCCCCCAGAATACAACGATCACAAGATCCATCAGCCAGGTTGTTTTGGGTGATTCCACCTCCAAAGCAACATCGATTGCCACAAGGTGCACCAAGGTTCACTGGGTCTGCTTACCTGGAGTCGACCTGTTCGTATCTCGGACATGGGGCCCCAGTCGTACCTGTTGTGCCGTACTTGAAGACGGGTCCAGGTACTATACCCTAGACCTCCAACTACCTCCGTCTTCGGTTCGGTGGGACTGGGGTGGGTGCCAGGAAGGTCTAACCACCGAACCTGAGGATATGGGACGATCGGAGACGTAGGGTTACAAAATGCATCAAAATGCGCTTCAGTCTGAGACTGTGCGGTGATGCCTCGTTCGACCAGTGAACTCTGGCGAGTGAAATGCAGAACACCCCACGAGTTCAAGGGGGCATCTTCTTCCGTTTATAGTGATCAGTGATCCCCAAATAGATAGTGGAACGGTTTCCAATACATTTTGGGTGGGGATCTACTCTTCTATACTTTTCTATCTATTTGGGGGTCTATACAGTTGTTCCATGTTATAAACAAAGGATTCGCCGATTTCAACCCTGTGACACTGCTTGATTTTGAGGTGCTCCAGGTGCCACAAGACACAAGAAGGAGGCCCCTCTGGCAGGGGAGCTTCAGCCCAGGGGAGGTGAGGCCTCGCTAGTCCGCCCTTAGAGCCTTACCCAGACCCTCCATGTATGCCATATGTGCCTACATTCACCCCCAAAACCACCCCAATGTATACAAATCGGCACATATATGGCAGTCCCATGGAGGTCGTGTCTGGGTGTCTGTAGTTCCAGCTGCGTGTCTCGGTCCGACCTGGCATTTCTCCACCAAGGAAAAGGGGGACCACGCACGATTCACCATCTTGCCACCTTGCGAGGAAGGCGGGAGTCCACCCGAGAACAGGGGGAAGATGGGAGTAGAGGAAGGCGTGCCAGCATGACAAAGGAAGGGAGGCTCTGGCATTCCTTTAGTTGTTCTTTCTATGTTCTTGTTCCTTTGTGGTCTGTGCAGTACCGTATTTCAGTATTTCTGTCTGTCTGTCTTTTTTTTTCCAGCAGCTTACCAGCAGTTTCCAATCAAGGGTGCCTATATCCACTCACTATATAGTGACTACCAGGGGCCCCACAAACCATCAAAAACTCTAGCAAAAAACATTGTTTTTGTATATATGAAAACCTTTGTTTTTCATGGTTTCGAGGGCCACTGGTATGGAACTGCCTGGTACTGTCAGGTGTTGTCTGTCTGTCGGCCATCGACGACGGTGGCCGCCGAGTTCTGTACCTTGCTGTGGCTGCATGGTGAAGCCATTGGCCTCGCGAGCGCAGCTGGGGACTCAGAATGGCATGGGCATGGGCATGAGAAAAAACCTTTTCGGCGGAATCGACTGGGCTGATTGGGTTGCTCTTTTCAGGTGGTGAAACCGGGAACCGAAGCAACCGGTGGCAACTCGGTCGGACCCGGACCAGCGGTGGATGATCTGCTTGGCTGATTCAGCTGGTGACCGGTGAAGGTTGGTTGAATGGAAGATGTTGTAACTGGATTTCCTGCTTGTTTTTTGTTGGCTTGCTGCATAGCTACACTTGGTGGCAGCATGTGGCAGCTGCAGCGAGTTGCGGCCCGGGCCCCAATAAAACGGCCCATGTCTATGGCACGCCAGCTCTCCTCTCATTTTCAGCCCGGCTGAGTGGTTCAAGGTGTCTAAGTGCATTCCAAGCCGCAAAGAGTGCCACTTGCGTCTGCTGCACCGACTCCTACGGGCTCATGCTGGGTCATGCCGTCGACGCGATCCCCCTGGATCCACCTGATCGTCGCTCCAGCCCATGCGGATTTGGGACGACTCGGACTGCAGATCTGTTGAGACCTGCACTTCTAAAGACCCCTTTGGACCAGCGAAGATTCATGCGAGGGTGTTCAAGAACCATGCATACAAAGGCTTCTCTTCACAAAGCTTCTAAAAAACACATTGCATTCCATGAGCTATGTCAGCTCCGGATCCAGGTTTGCTTCGGGTCCAAGTTACCCCTGCAAAGAGGCGCGCGTGGGGTGGTCCTCCGGAAGTGGTCGGGTGAAAGGATGGTTATAGGGCTGTGCCACTCTGTTCACCCCCTTTTTCAACCACCCCGAGGTACCAGTGTCCCATGCAGTGTCCTCCTAGCTATGTCGGGCGGTGTTTCCGTGGTGAATGCATTCGGTGGTCGGCCCCGAAGGGGGGGGGGCTCGACGTGTCGGCCAGCACAAGTCCTCCAACTTGATCTGCATCAAGGTCCCCACCAAAAGCCTACGACGAGAGGCGAGAGGAGAGAGCGCCGGGAGTGGGGTCTAAACCATCACCAACACCCACGGGAGTGGGGTGGAAATTGGACAGCGAAAAAGCCTTAATCTCCTTTCGGAGCAATTCATAGACACCCAACATCAAGACTTTGGAAGATCCCTAAGAATCAAGCACCCTCAGCCGGTGGAGGTTTGGTTTGGATCCAAGTTATTCTGCAATCCTGCAGGGTCATTGGACCCTCCAGAAGTGGGAAGTGGTCATGTTACTCGGTTCAAAGGGGACGGTCGCCGGTCCAGATGATCTAATAGAATCAAACCGGTATGCCATGCACGGAGTGTCTAGGGATGTTCATGTTGCCACATCCTGACTGACTGAGGTTGTTGGAACTTGAGAAGTGATGGGCACAAAAAACATAGAAACACTGATGTATAACCCAAACACTCCATGCGACAAGAATTCATGCCGCCCCATTGACCCCTTTTTCAACCACCCCAATGCAGGTACAAATGCAAGTCCCATGTCTGGGCTGTGGTGAATGTAACAAAAAACACACACTGCAAAAGCGTATAAGCCATTTTGGGATGCACACATAACGCTGTCCTGTGATTGGAGACTCTTTTTTGTACTGTAGGCGCCAGGAGGGTTCAAGGGTACGTCAATCCCTAAACTAAACCTGCACAACCTCCACAAGGACTTGCGCAATCACATGTGTTTTGACAACTACGTGGAACCACAGAAACACATTCTGTGGGAGAATGAGCACAGTTTTGTACACCATCGCCGCACCAATGCAAGCAGTGTCTGTGAATCTATAGTACTGCCTGCTGCATGCCCAACACACAACTTCCACGTGGCCCAAGCTGGGGCAGAACATGTCGACCCCAGTTCGGGAAACATCACCCTGTCACCCTGTATCAGCAAATAGACATCACCAGCACCACCGATGGTGCCGGGTGGTGGTGCCTACATATGAACCACTTGAAGCTCCATGGAGCTGGACGTCCAATTATGTCCCAGTGTTTTTCCCCACCTCCATTTCCACGGAGGGTCTGCGCCCACCGAACCTGAGGAGAACTACTTGGAGCCCTAGGGTTGCTTCAGCCATCGTCCATACCGAGTCACTCGGGATGCGCGGCACCGCGCGCTCCGCACATCGTCTGACACGGAATGTTCGGGTTCCCCCACGGTTCGCCGAGCATCGTCTCTGCTTCAGCGGCTTGGTAGGTGGGAACCTCGGTCTTCGTGTCACGGTGGCCACCAAGAAAACCAAGAAACTGATCTGGATGGATCTGTCAATCGCAAAAGCTCCAAGAAATCTGCATTGTTTTATTGAAACTTCAACTATACTACTTACTGGCTGTTAAGCAGGAACAGGGGAACCATCGAGATTGAAAGGATCTCTACTGAACCTGAAGGTTTTGATTGTAGGACACTCTGGTTGAACATTCTTGTGGGACACTTTTGCGGGACACTCTCGTAGGACACTCTTGTGGGGCACTCTTGTAGGGCACCCTTGTAGGGCATTCTTGTGGGAAACTCTTGTGGGACATTCTTGTTTGTCACTCTGGTAGGACACTCTTGCGAAACAGTCCAAACGCCAATCCAAACAACTCGCAACCTCACGATTCCCTGTGCCTGCCACTTTGCTGCGACTGTCACGAAAAGTGACAGTATCATATCATGCGATCATGTGAGCTTCAACAAAATTTGCACCACACCACATGTTTGGATTGATTTCGACACGTTCTGAGCACACTCCAAAGTCGCCATTTGAGCTGAGGCTTGTCACGAAAACGCAGCTTCCATGCAACATCCTGAAACGCACATCCCAGTGTCAAAGCCACATCCAACACCCCAAAAAAACCACCCTCCAAACGGCAATCCCAATGTGACTGCGCAGAAAACTGCCGATCTCACAAAACGCTGCGCCTGCGCAGTGAAATCATCCTCCACACTTCAACATCTTACGTTTCCACACGTTTCCTCGCGATTTCACACGAATCTCACCCGTCACACTTCCATCCAAAACCCTATCCAACAGCTTCCCCCAATCACAGCGCCTTAGCGCTCTACTGCGGACGGTTGCGAACGGTTGCGAACGCTGAGACAACGAGTCGCGAACAAGGCTCTACCCCCAGACCCCCAGAGTTAAACCAGAACCCTTCGCCCTTCGCTACGCATTCGGGAAAAAACCGTGGATCTGTTGCGTGGCATTGCTGCCGTGACGCACGGCAAACAAAGCTTCTGTTGTGTGGAAAGTGCGAGAACAAGTGTGCTGTGAAATGTGAGAGAAGGGGCGTGAGTAGGGCGTGAATTGTAAAGCGTACCTCTCTCAAGGGTATCTAAAGTAAAAATATTTATATATTTATATACCCAGAACGTCCTCGACTATTAGACTATTCTTAAAACCGTCCAGCCCATATAAAAACAGTCTAGACTGTTTCCTGGATCTGGCGGACGTTTTTAGGCCTTGCCAGGGGGGGCCTGTGGAGAGGCTCCATGGAGGGCAGGCCTCTGGGATCAAAGCCATGAGAGTGGCCATGAGTAAGGACCTTGTTCATATCCATGAACCTACTGCACACACTTTCCAAGACACTAGAAGACTTGGAATCAACACTGCAAGCTAGATTGATTGAGGAATCATGCAATGCAATGACCTTGCGCGCCGCCCTTGCTTCACGATTGCTGGATGATTTTGAAGAAGCACGAGATTGTGCGCCCCCCACTGCGCCAATGCTTCTGATGTTTCATGTTTGAAGATGTGTGGCATGAATGCGCCCATGGTTGTGCCCTGTATACTGTCATTTAGGCTCATGCTCTTGAACGGCTCATGGATTTGGGCCCACAAAACATTAGCCAATTGGAGCTTGAAACACCCACATGATACAAATATGTTCCATGCATGTTCTCAACCTTGGACTGGCCTACGATCTAAATGGCTGCTCAATGTCCCATGGTCAAAATATCGATCGACAACAGTTTTTTGTTGGCGTGGTAGGTACTGTTTCTTTTTTATACATGGTCCCTAGATCTGAGCTCAGCTCACATGCATGAGGGCATTTCTACAACAGTGTGGCTATTTTGGTGATGGTGGAGGAACGGTGCAGGGCAAACAAAATCTACTGCAGTCAACCACGTTTCCGAGCTAAGATGGTTTCTTGGCTCGACTCGGCCTGTTTTTTTGGTGACCCTACTATACTACCACGTTTTACGACGTTTTATGTGTGCACGTGTATGCCTTTTGATGTCATTGTTTGTTGGGGCCTGCGCTAGCAGCTGAGATTTACAAAAAAGATGGATCAACGATGTTCACGGCAAAGGGTTGGAACTCGAGGATACTCACCAATTCTTTCACCATTGCTTGCAAGATGCAGAGCAACAGCAGAATGTTTACCCTGATCAGCATGGTGAGTTGCCTTTACTTAGCTCCTGTGCGGCTCTTGATTGATTTCAATATTGTCCCTTTACCGATTCCCACAACGTCAACTTGGCCCTAGGATTTCAACCGATTCCAACCATCGTTGATTTAGTATAGCCTTTCTTGCTGAACAGCAATTTTACACTAGCTAGCTAGTACTTCTTGTATATATATACGGGCTTAGGACAGCTTTGGCTCGTTTCTATTGGCTACAGGAGGCAGGTGGGCGCTTCTACACTCCCTCGCAGAGACAAGAGGTGTATGAATCCGCCCGGAAATTTGTGTCTCGATTTGTGGCTCTTGCAAGACTTGGAATCAGGCCGGCCTGGGTTGTACATGAACCATTGGGATCACCAAGAAATGACAGGCGTTAAGCTTTGTTGAACCGTCGATGGATGAGTGCATGAGTTAATGAGTGTGTGGATGATCAAGTTGTGCGAGGCCAAAAAGGGATATCTTCCGAGTGCGTGGCAAGCTGCATGTGCTTTGGCAGCGCTACAGCGTTTTTTCTGCTAGCTTCTATTTTTCTGCTTAATCCGACCCTGCGTGTGATAACTAAGTTGATGCTCCACTTGGCGGAGGACGCCAAGAAATGGGGGGCGGAATGGACGCTTTCATCACACTTTTTCTGATGAGGATTCCATGGGCTGGTTGAAGTGCAACTTGACACAAAGGCTAGGTGTTTGTTTTGGGCCTCCATGACATGGTCCCGACGATTCATCGTATTTTTATTGTAACAGTTCATTGATCTAAGGCATATGTCGTCGAGCTGGTGGCCGAGCAAAAACTAGAGGCCCATTTGTATTGCGAATGACGAGGATCCGGCTTTACTTCATGAAGACCAAAATGGATCTGCTGCTCAGCGTTTTTGAATTGTATGATGATGGCTGTATGGTGGCCTTGTTTGTAGGATAATAAGTAAATTGATCTTCTACATCTCGATATGTTGGTTCCCGGCTAAGGCTGAACAAGCAGGCCAAGAAGCGCGCCTTGAAGCAACTGAAGTGACACTAGCGGTGGAACAAAAAGGAATGGAACAGGGATGGGCGAGGAGCTGTGTTCCTGACCCAGTGGAAGAATATGACTTCAGGAGGTATCCTAAAGGCCTTTGGAGAGGCTTCCTGGAAAACCCTCTAAACCGTCCAGGCTGACCCAAAACCGTCTAGCTGGCTCGACTGTTCTTTAAACCGCCTTTGGAGTCTCTGGGTACACCTAGATCTTCAGTCCGGCACTTTTACAGGGTCCGGCGTCGGACTTCCAACTCCGGCGTTTTTCTGGATTTGGTCCGGCAGTTTTTCCAAGTCACTTGAAATGTGGATTCTCAAGGCTTTGCATTCTTTGTGGCTTGCATTTCTTTGAAGGTAATGATTTGCTTACAAAGTGTGCTCGTTTGCCTGTTCCGCTGTTTTCTCATTCCACCGGTTTCAGCATGGTTCACACTGGATCAATCAGATCCGTTTAGGTGATCTTCTAAATGAAGCCGGATGAAATTGGTACAGTGCGATGCACGTGTTGAAAGACCCAAGTGGGTGTACCTAAGCTGAAAGAACATAGGCAAAGATGTACTCCCATTTAGTTCTAGTTGCGCAGGTTTGCAGAGCCTGCCGGACAAGTTTTGGGCTGTGGAACATGTGTTGTTCAGGATCTCAATGTTTTGCAGAGAGTTGCAAAATATTGCACGTAGTAACTCCGGCGTAATTTCCCGCAACTCCGGCGTAATTTCCCGTAACTCCGGCGGATTTTTTTGGACTCAGTCTTTTGAATTTTGAAACCTAAGAGTTTCGACAGGAACCATGAGTTCTGCCACTTTATTGGCGGGGCCGTCCTGAGGCAAGCGGGGCCGTCCTGAGGCAAGCTTTAAAAAACCATTAAAAAACAATAAGAATCATGGAGAGCCACTTTGTAAAAAACAAGATGGAGCCCACGAACCCGAATGCAAACACGTTCAAAAAGCTACATATGTCCAAATGACACTCTTGTAGGACACTCTTGTGGGTCACTCTTGTAGGAAACTCTTGTGGAACACTCTTACGGGACACTCTTGTGGGACACTCTTGTGGGACACTCTTGTGGGACACTCTAGTAGGAAACTCTTGTGGGACACTCTTGTAGGACACTCTTGTGGGATACTCCTGTAGGACACTCTTGTGGGACACTCTTGTGGGGCACTCTTGTGGGACACTGTTGTAGGAAGCTCTTGTGGGACACTCTTGTAGGACACTCTTGTGGGACACTGTTGCGGGACACACTTAAGGGACACTCTTGCGAGACACTCTTGCGGGACACTCTTGTCGGACACTCCTGTGGGACACTCATTTGGGACACTCTTGTGGGACACTCTTGTGGGACACTCTTGCAGGACGCTCTTGTGGGACACTCTTGTCGGACACTCTTGTAGGACACTCTTGTGGGACACTCTTGTAGGGCACTCTTGTGGGACACTCTTGTGGGACACTCTTATAGGACACTCTTGTGGGACACTCTTAACTCTTGCGAGACACTCTTGTGGGGCATGGTTGCGGGACACTCTTGTGGGACACTCTTGTGAGACACTCTTACGGGACACTCTTGTAGGACACTCTTGTGGGACACTCTTGTGAGACACTCTTACGGGACACTCTTGTAGGACACTCTTGTTGCACACTCTTGTAGGACACTCTTGTGGGTCACTCTTATGGGACACTCTTGTCGGACACTCTTGTGGGACACACTTGTGGGACACTCTTATGGGACACTCTTGTCGGACACTCTTGTGGGACACACTTGTGGGACACTCTTGTGGGACACTCATACGGTATCGCTTTTTAAATATACGATTTTTAAAACAGGTAAACAGGTATTTTAGACTACCTCCGGCAAGGTTTTTGCCAGCCCGGCCCGACCCTTTAAACATACGGAATGAATATACGGTACGATTTAAATATACGGTCAGCTTACATATGTGCGGCGGCATTTATTTGGTACTGAGCTCAAACGCGCAATCTATTATGTGGAGGCCCTATCTCGTTTCGACTACTTAAGTAGAAGGTCATGTAATGTTAGAGTATCTCGCTCAGACTACTTTAGTCTTGGTAGTCCCGGTGGTCTTGGTGGTGATTGTGGCGGCCTAGGCGGTGTTGGTGGTGCTCTTGGTGGTCCCGGTGGCCTTGGTGGTCCGGTCTTGGTGTCTCGGTGGTCTTAGTGGTGATTGTGGCGGTCTAAGCGGTGTTGGTGGTGCTCGGTGGCCTTGGTGGTCCGGTCTTGGTGTCTTGGTGGTCGGTGGTCTTGGTGGTCCCGGTGGTCTTGTTGGTGATTGTGGCAGTCTACTCTTGGTGGTCTTGGGGGTGCTGTGGTGCGGTCTTGGATTGTGGCGGTCTAGGCGGTGTTGGTGGTGCTCGGTGGCCTTGGTGGTCCGGTCTTGGTGTGGTCCGGTCTTGGTGGTCTCCGTGGTCTTGGTGGTCGGTAGTCTTGGTGGTGATTGTGGCAGTCTACTCTTGGTGGCGTTGGTGGTCTTGGTGGTCCGGTCTTGGTGGTCTCCGTGGTCTTGGTGGTCTTGGTGGTGATTGTGGCGGTCTAGGCGGTGTTGGTGGTGCTCTTGGTGGTCTTGGTGGTCCTGGTGGCTTTGGGTCCGGTGGTCCTGGTGATTGTGGCAGTCTACTCTTGGTGGTCCTGGTGGTCTTGGTGGTGCAAGTAAGTGGTCCAGGCGGCCCTGGTGGTTTTGATTTGGTGGTGTGGCACCTCCCCATACAACCTGCAGCCCTGAAAGTAGTAAGAGTCCTTGATGAGTTCTACTTCCTGTGAGAGTGTTTGAAAAGCTAGATCGACCTAGTTGCTGGGCAGAAAGCATCAAGTTACTTCTCTACAAAAATCGGGTTCTGTAGGTGCCAAAAACTGCCTCGTTACAACATGGCCTCTCTGTAAGGGCCTCAATCCCTTTTCGTAAAAGAAATGTCAACAGGGATTACATTTTAAATATACGGGGGGAACAATAATTTTATACTACCTCCGGGGCCGATTGCTCTGGCCCGGCCAGACCCTTTAAATATACGGTGGGAACAGGTATTTTATACTACCTCCGGAGCCGATTGCTCTGGCCAGGCCACCATATATTTAAAAAGCGTTACCGTACTAACACATGACACATCCATGCCTAGTCACTTGCAAAAGCTTCCCCCAATGGCAGCGCCTTAGCGCTCTACTGCGGACGGTTGCGAACGGTTGCGGACGGTTGCGAACGGTTGCGGACGGTTGCGGACGGTTGCGAACGGTTGCGGACGGTTGCGAACATAGAAACAACGGGTCGCGAACAAAGCTCTACCCCCAGACCCCCAAAGAGTTAAACAAGAACGCCCTTCGCTACGCATTCGGGAAAACTTTAGAGGCACGGTTGCAAAGAAATAGGGGCTCCTTGCCACATACTCCTTCGTTTCTTCTTGGAAGTCTTTGCTTGGGCACAAGTTTGCTTATATTTTGTGATGGTTCTGCTCTTAGGCCATTCGGAAGATGGGCGAGGGCAATGGGAACGGGAAGGCTCCAGTCTCCAGTGCTGGGTTGTGGAATGAGTCTGTTCCAGAAAAAACTACTCGTGGCGCAAAGGCAGTTTGCTTGTGTATGATCCAACCTTTTATCATCTCTGCTTTTCAGAATCTCCGGCGTTTTTTTTCGGAATCCGGCGGAAAATTTTGCCGGATCCAGGTATGTGTTTTTTGGCTGTTTTATAACATTCGTATCCTTTCCCAACACTATAGCTTAATTGACCTGCTCTGTGAACAGTCTCATAGTCTGCGAGGCTCTGAGGAAAGCAGCCCGCCCATCTAGCGGGAGAGCTGCCAAGACACTCCTCAACCATGGCTGGAGTACTTCTGTGTCCTGTGGCATGGATCAAGGAGAACCCGGGCAAGACAATTGGCGAGCACTCTCATCTGCGCCCTCTCTTGCACACATCTGTCCTGGCAGCGCGCCGGCAACATATGCAGATTTGAGAGGGCAGTGGTGTAGACGGGGCTCCGCGCGATAACCACACACTTGGCGTCAGGAACCTGAGCCCCAATCTGATAGCAGTCTTGTTGGCCTTCGTTACTGCCACGTATCCTGCCAAAGCCCTGGGCCAAAGCGCCATGTCTCTTCCAAAGTTGCAATGTCCTTCGGGCTGGCCAAATCCCAAGTTGTTGCCGTACTTGGAGGAAAAAGTGCCCTGAGTTCACCAACATGAATGCTCTCCTCCTCATGCGAGCCGTCAAGCCGAAACGAGCGTGCAGAAGACCCCATTTGACAATTCATGGAGCTGCTCAGTCATCGTATTGAACTGCTGTTTGGTCTTCAGGTCTGCTTCGGCCACTTGGCCCATGAAACTGGAGATCTGGCCGCAGATGTCCTGCAATTTCCCAAATCGTCCCAGACACCATCTTAACATATCATGTAGATAGTCGGCAGATGCCAAAGCAGTACCCCGCGCACTCTCAGGAAGAGAGTTCAGAGGCGCAAAGTCACTGACCGTAGGATTGACCAACCCCTGGAAGTAAACGTACGACCAGAATGCTGCTCCAGCACGCAGAGCGTGCAGAAGCCTCTCCTGCAAACTCCAAGCCTCCACCTCATCAAGGCCAAGGAGAGCCTTGCACTTCCTGAAAAGCTTAGAGCCTTGGCCAGCCAGTTTGAGGAAGGCTGCCCGGGTCATCGAGACCAGCTGAATCTGTTCGAAAATGTTTGGAGCCAGATCGCACCAGCGAAGCACATAAAGGATAAAGGTGAGTTGATAGTTGGTGATGCTGTGTGAGCATGTACTCAATTTACGTCCGAAAGCTGCAACGTCGCCAGTTACAATTCTGCAAACTCCCTCCACCCAAAGATGCACCTCTTCACCCAACAATCACACTCAAACCAGGTCACTTGCGCAACACTTGCCCCCCCCCCAAAAAAGATATAGGTCGATTCATGGGCAGGTTTCAGTAAAAATGACCGGTTCCCTGCCCTTGAAAAGCGGTGCACACCCAGCCTTTCCACCGTTTTTGGAGCGTATTTCGATCCAGTTTAGGGTCCAAAAGGCGGCTCTCAAGCGAGGACCAGGAGGTAGCTTGCCTCGGCCTGAGGCTGGAAACAGGGCTGGGGCCAATCTACCTAGACACGACTTCAAGTACAGTACCTGGAAAAATGGGACATGACCCGAACCCAACACAACAACGACTGCGGCCCCATCTTCCGCGGTACTTTGGGACTCCAGGTAGTTGAATCCGGGATGCACTCACTACTAAGCAACACGAGAAGCCACGGATGAGACTTATTCTCCTAGCTTACAAAGAGAGGATTTTGTTCACCAGAGTGTAGGTGGCATCCCCCTCTGACATGGGCCTGTTTTCTATGACCCCATCTCGATGGCCATTGAGGACCGACGTAGTCTCAAGAACCCCAATGGAAACGCTCGATGAATCACACACAAGCAAAACTGATCCTTAGTTCATGCACAACATGGGTTATAGAGCCTCCCACCATTCCTCCTACCAACCTACCATCCAATATAGCCACCCAATAGCCATCCTATCATCGCTGCTGGCACTCCCCCTTTTGGTTTTTCTTGCACGATCAATGTCTGAGCAAAGGGTGCTATGTAGTCCGTCCAGTGTGTGTTCCTGGTTCAATGAATCAAGTTGGAAAAAAGGAACACGCCAGCAAAGGTTGAAGAACCCGAACTAGACTGTGCTATAAGGTACCCCAGGTAGCTCGGGTCCGAACGTTCAGATCACTTAACCTCTGTTGGCGTGTGATTTCGCCTAGCGGGACCAATGAAATCAACCCCGCCCCTTTTCTCTGGCCATGGGCCCGAGTAGGCCTCTGGTCCACAGGCAAAGCACTAGTTCGGTGGCAACCAGTGGTTCCAGTTCGACTGTTACCTTGAAAAAACCTGGGTCCTCATATATAGGTCCGGTCTATGGTTATAATCTTATTCTGCTTGGTGTTTTCAACCAACTTGAAACATATTAGTCAAAGTGTCCAATCATCCCCAAGTAAGGGTTGAAAACAAACATATCCGAAACCATCACCTAGTATTGGATATTTGCCTGGCAATCCACTGGGCATGTTCTTTTTGCTCGCTCCGCTGTGCTCCGCACCAGTGAGGGGCCCATGCTCCGTGAGCGGCCCATCCTCGCGAGACGGGGGACACGACGGGCACCGCCATGAAAACAACTTCTGGGCATAGGATGGCATACCCTACACCTCCGTTTTCGTACCTCCTTAGGTTCGGTATGACTGGACCTGACGTTTTGGCACCCGGGCCCCGGTCGTCCCACCCTCTCAGGTTCGGTACGACTGGAGGCCTAGGGACAGGGCTCCAGATCCTCACGAAGCATCGTGGATGAGAATGTCCCAGTGTTCTTTTCTTATAGGGCTCCAGGTCCTACCTCCGTCTTCGGTTCGGTAAGACTGGGGTGAGTGGGTACCAGGGGGGGTCTGTGCCCAGCGAACCTGAGGAGATTGGCCCAAATCAGCCAAGCAAATGGATACCAGCACCATCCAAGGGGTGCCTTTTTTGGTTTCGCGGTGTTCGTACGCAGTGCGTCTATTGGAGACCCCCATAGAAACAGCCAAAAGGTCTAGCGATATCCACTGTCCCCTACACCTCCGTTTTCGTACCTCCTCAGGTTCGGTATGACTGGACCCTCCAAAAAACCCACCCGGTCGTCCCACCGAACCTCAGGTTCGTTACGACTGCCAGGCCGAACCGGGGTCTTCCATCCGATCGAGATCGACTCCAAAGACCATGGCATCCGTCGCAAAACTGGGGCGACGACTAGAATTCACCATTCCTTCGAAGCAAAACGGGAGAATTGCTCCTGAAAACCAGGCACGGCTGGAAGGCCGCTATTCACCTCCATGTCGTGTTCCCACAGACCTGCAGATCAGCTCTGGAGTCGTGGTCGAACGCGACGATGGTCCAGGTGCAAAAACGACACGACGAGTGCATGGGTGGGTTGGTCTCAAACCCGTGCTTCATACCTCGCCAGCCTCATGTGGCAAGCTGCAACTGGCTCATATAAGAACCATTTGCCAAGATTTGCCAAGTATACAAATACATCCCTAGGGATCCAAGTACCTTCTCAGAAGGTACTTGGACCCTCAAAACCTACATAAGAGTGTCTCCAATCACCGTACCTGAGAAGGTACTTGGATCCCTAGGGCATGATGATGGGAGGCTGGCTCCATGGGCCCTACCGGTCGGTCGGGTCGAACTCACGGTTCGTGGACTGGTCTCACCTCCCTCTTCGACGGAGTGGACTGTCCGACCAGCTTTGACTGTGCTACGGGTCGAACTCATGGAGGTGCAGTGAGTGAAAGAACGACACCTGTTCGGATGGTCGGCTCAGGACGTCCTTAAGAACAAACGGATGGTTGCTGGAGCCTTAGGGTGTAGAACAGAGAGCTGTATACCTATAAGGACTGGACCTGAAGAGATGGGAAAAGAAGATAACGATGGCCCCCAACCTAACCCTAGGCCTCCAAGTACCTCCTCAGAAGGTATTTGGACCCTCCAAACCCACCCCAAACACCTTCTCAGAAGGTACTTGGAGGCCTAGGGTAATAGCGTCCTAATACTCATACCCACGTAGAAGATCAACGACTGAACCTTGAATGACTATAGTGTGTGGTCTCGTCGATCCCGGATGCCTAGGCCGAAAAACGGCTTCCTGGCCTGGGCTTTGAGATGTTTTGATGGTCTCAATTCCGAAGGTCCATTGTTTTACAACGTAGGAATATCGACTCGCTCTACAACAAGTCAACCATTCAAAGGTCCAACGGAAGGCTAGGGTCACTAGATCTGGAACCTGGGTTTTGAAGTTAATGGTCTTAGTCTTTGAACACATACTGGTTACCAGCTGAACGGTACCGTGAATTGGATCCACGCATGTGAGCGGACGTAACACCGGACTCCCGTAATCTAGCTTTGACGAAGAACGTTTTGTTTGTGTAGTTGGCAGTTGCACCAAGTCCCCGTTCACAGGTTTTGCAGGTGATTGGCTTTTCCGGTGTGATCATATATAAATTAATATACCCAAAGGATCATAACAGATCTCGGGGTCTCAGATGTTGAATGGGCCCATTGCAAAAAACACTTGAGGGCCCAACTCATGTTCGACCCCTCACTGTGAGACCCCATGAGACCCCACTGTGATAATCACACGCACATTTTTATCACTTCGCGATACTTGTGCCGTGCAAACCGTGCCACTTGGATCTTGTAGCGCTGGATCACACGTCTCGTCAAATTTGCTCGGTGGCAAACACGTGCGATGTGGGAAACTAGGCCGACAAAACCCTCTGCAGAGAGCAACTGGTAGAAACGACAATTGATTCGAGTCTGCTTCACAGTACGAAGTACATGGTACAGATAATGGTGCTTCGGCGCCAGCTGCCACAATGACCTGTTGCCACTATGAGCTCCTGTAACAGCTGCTGACAAGCTTCTCAAACGAGCGTAACTCAAAAGGTGCAGCTGCCCTGCTTTGTAAATCTGTGTCGCCATCCTTTCACTCAACACCAAGGGGTACTCAGACAGCAGCTGCAAAAAGTTTTTGTACGCAACGGCCGTTGTGGCCACAAGCTTATCCAAGTCTGAAGCACCTGGGCGGGTTGCCCAAAAGGTTGCAGCGTCTGCCAGCCAAAAGCTCAATCGCTTACCAGCAATACCTTTGGACTGTAAAGCCGGATAGTCAGCCCGGGTGAAGCGGTGCAAACGAGAACAAGTGAACCTTGCTTGGGTGGTGGTATGGCGATTTTGCTTCTTCCATACACCGAACTGCTTGAAAGCTTCACCAAGACGGTGTTGAAGAACAAACGGATAGCGCCCCCTGGACCATGCACCGAAGCACCCACTCTCACAAAGGAATACCAAAACTGATCCTGCACAGTGAGGGTCTGAACAAACCTGTAACGATTATGTGTTGGGTCCTCGTCCACTATGAATACAAACACCTGCAGTAGTTTGGAATTTATCACACCCAAAAAGAAGGGGATACTTAAGACTCACAAGACCATGTTCTTTACATGTTGCAAAGGCTCCATTGAGGAGACGACCAGTCCCCAGTAGCTGGCCATGAAGAACATCGTGTGTGAATCTATGCAAATGGGCACCAGGCACCTTGAAAGTGATTGATCCTTAGCTGGGCTGGGTCAAGGTTGGTGAACATGAGGTAGGATGTTGGCCCCACAAAACAATCAATTGAACACACCACGGTACATGTTATTTACATGCAAGCTGCTTTCATCAGGTGTCGTCGACTGCATGAACTCTTGATGGCTTATCAGAGTAGAGCTGTGGGCCGCATCTTCCCTCATGTCCCCAAGAGTCATGGAGACTTGTGCATGCACCTTGCAGCACCGGCACCAACTACACATATCATTGCTCATATAGCTGAACAGTTTGTGCTTGTGCAACATGTACTTCAAGTCACCTTGGTTGCTTGAGAACATAAAGGTGTAATCAGCAGACCACACAAACTGTTCACGAATGTCGGTCATCTTGATGATCCGATCACATACCGCTGACATGATGTCATTGTAAGTGAAATCAGACTCAAGATATTCAGCATACGTTGTCAGCAGACAATACCTCAAGAGCGGAGGCCGGTTGTAGCAAAAGTCCGATGTCCATGCTAAGACCATGATGCTCCCAACTTCAGAGTTTTTGTATGTAGCAACCTCATCTCCATAAAGTGACAAAGGGAGAAGGCCCCGACGTGGGTATGTGGCAGCAGGATGTACTTGAAACCACTCTGATGTAGAATGGACATGGTTCCAATACTCTTCAATCTGTTCATGGGACATGTCCCCGCAGAAAAACCAATGAAACATGTCTTTGCCACCCATGGTCCAAATAGCAGATGCCATTGAGTCTGGCATGATTACCGGCACCTTGGTCCAAACTACACGGCTGTTCTTGTGGTCCCACATCCTGACATCAACTTCTGTAGGCTGGATTTGAAGACTGAGCTTCTCCAAAATATGGTGGAGGTCTCTTTCAGCATTCGACGGGTGTTGGCCACTTGTAGCAATGCGAGCTAGCCGGCTGATCATATGAGTTTGTGGGATATATGCTCCAAGACTGGTACAAAGATCTACCGCTGCATCAGCCATTTGTTGAACCTTACAGAGGGTGCTCCTCAAAGAATGGGTCACCACAGATGGTTCTGGTTTCCAAGACCACTTGCAAAAAGGGAAAAAAAGGAAACAAAAGAGCAGCACAGCCATGCTTCTTTTATTGCATGCATTTTCCCAGCTGCAAAATCATCCACCAACAAGCTCCAGAATCGAGAACCCTTGTCGTCCATGGCATGCAGATTTGCTCGGACTGCAGCATGCGAAGACGACGAAGCTGAGGCACGTGGAGCATGATCTACTGCAACGTTGTCTCGATTTGCCTGCATTTGAGGCACAGTGATGGGACGGAATGAGAAAGCTTGAGTACCGCAGGAATTGAACAAGTTAGCATGACAATGATGACAATGCACATGGTTCCATATATGAACATCACTCGTATTTGTTTCCTTGCAACCCCATCCCTGCCTTTTTAGCTTCCAAGCGCCGAATAGTGGCAGCAACATCAGCTGGCCCATGATGGCCTGACACAAATTGCACATTGCACAACCTCTTTTGTTCCATTACCCTTTTAAGGGACCTTTGGTATGCGAAATGATGTAAAGAAACACACAATTGGGCAATGGGTACAGCTGTTTGGGAAAGATCACTCTAGTTGACATTCCATGGATGCAATTCGGGAGTTCTCTTTGCGTTCCTTTCCCATCGTTCGATGTGGTGCCATTATGGCAGGCATGTTGGAAGGTCCAACATGCTTCTCCCCATGCAGCTAGCATCAAGTACTGGCACATGACATTTTAGCATGTCCAGTGATTGCAACTCAATCACCTGCTAGTCTTCGGCAGCAGCCGTCTCGGCCTTTGCCTTTTTTTTGGCTGCTGGGCGCAACACTTGATGTGCGACACGAGCATCCTCTAGGTACAAATCCAATCGCTGAATTGCCAACTTCACAGCTGCTTCGCAGGGATCGACATCGCACTCCTGACATGGGCATGGACGTCAATCAAGTGGCAGGCTGGGCTTGTGCAAGAGAGTTCAACAAAAATCAACACGCTAAACGAGGAAGGATCCTGTCGTTCATCTTCCTTCTTCATAGTGAACCCCTGTAGCTGAAAGAACGAGGCTTCCAATTCACCAGCATGAGTGGCAAGCGTTGTTCCTGGGATCGAAGGTCATATACGATCGACATCGATTGAACCAAAAAAACTGCATGCATGACGTTGAGTGCAAGATGTTTGGAAACTATAATATATGGAAAGTTGCTCAACACATCCTGATGTTTGATGTGCTGCAGCTTGATAGGAAGCATCTTGGCACCAGTCAACCCATTAGTAACCTTTCCAAGAGCCCATGAAGCAGCTTCCCATGGATCGTCCGGTTGTATCCTAGGATGGGCTATCATGGAACAAGAATAACATGTTATGCATGTGTCCAAAAACACCTCTCAAAGCGCAACTCAGAAACGAATTGTCCTTTTTTGGTTTCTCTTCCTCGACATCATTCTCATCGGTCTTTTTGTCCTTCCTTCTCCGGCGGCCCCCCTTCCCATTCTCCTCTGGCGGCGGCTGCTCGTTTACCGCCGGGACTAGTCCTCCCCCGAACATGTCGGGCAAGGCAAGCATGTTCTCCAAGTTCGCTCCAGAAGCGAAGCGTGCAGCATCCTGCCCGCATTGAGAAATGGATGGGCAATATCTATAGCTTCTTTATGTTCATGGCAGCACACGGTTGTCATGGTTGCACTTCATCCATGGCCTCAGAACCACCATCTAGGTCCAAGTCCAACCGTTGTTCGATCACATC